TGTAGTTAAACCTTTACTCAAAAAGCCATCTCTAGACCCAGCAGTCTTAGCTAATTATAGGCCAATCTCCAACCTTCCTTTCATATCAAAAATCCTTGAAAGAGTAGTTGTCAAACAGCTAACAGATCATCTGCAGAGGAATGGTTTATTTGAAGAGTTTCAGTCAGGTTTCAGAGCTCATCACAGCACAGAAACAGCTTTAGTGAAGGTTACAAATGATCTTCTTATGGCCTCTGACAGTGGACTCATCTCTGTGCTTGTCCTGCTAGACCTTAGTGCAGCATTCGATACTGTGACCATAATATCCTATTAGAGCGATTAGAACATGCTGTAGGTATTACAGGTACTGCGCTGCAGTGGTTTGTATCATATCTATCTAATAGACTCCAATTTGTTCATGTAAATGGAGAGTCCTCTTCACACACTGAGGTTAATTATGGAGTTCCACAGGGTTCAGTGCTAGGACCAATTCTGTTTACATTATACATGCTTCCCTTAGGCAGCATCATTAGAAGACATAGCATACATTTTCACTGCTATGCAGATGACACCCAGCTCTATCTGTCCATGAAGCCAGATAACACACACCAATTAGTTAAACTGCAGGAATGTCTTAAAGACATAAAGACCTGGATGGCCGCTAACTTTCTGCTTCTTAATTCAGATAAAACTGAGGTTATTGTACTCGGCCCTGAAAATCTTAGAAATATGGTATCTAACCAGATTCTTACTCTGGATGGCATTACCTTGGCCTCCAGTAACGCTGTGAGGAACCTTGGAGTCATTTTTGACCAGGACATGTCCTTCAACGCACATATTAAACAAATATGTAAGACTGCTTTCTTCCATTTGCGCAACATCTCTAAAATTAGAAATATCCTGTCTCAGAGTGACGCTGAAAAACTAGTTCATGCATTTATTACTTCCAGGCTGGACTACTGTAATTCATTATTATCAGGATGTCCAAAAAACTCACTGAAAAGCCTTCAGCTAATCCAAAATGCTGCAGCAAGAGTCCTGACAGGGACTAGAAAGAGAGAGCATATTTCTCCTGTTTTGGCTTCCCTTCATTGGCTTCCTGTTAAATCCAGAATTGAATTCAAAATCCTGCTCCTCACATACAAGGTCTTAAATAATCAGGCCCCATCTTATCTTAATGACCTTGTAGTACCATATCACCCTATTAGAGCACTTCGCTCTCGCTCTGCAGGCCTACTTGTTGTTCCTAGAGTATTTAAAAGTAGAATGGGAGGCAGAGCCTTCAGTTTTCAGGCCCCTCTTCTGTGGAACCAGCTTCCAGTTTGGATTCGGGAGACAGACACTATCTCTACTTTCAAGATTAGGCTTAAAACTTTCCTTTTTGCTAAAGCATATAGTTAGGGCTGGACCAGGTGACCCTGAATCCTCCCTTAGTTATGCTGCAATAGATGTAGGCTGCCGGGGATTCCCATGATGCATTGAGTTTTTCCTTTCCAGTCACCTTTCTCACTCACTATGTGTTAATAGACCTCTCTGCATTGAATCATATCTGTTATTAACCTCTGTCTCTCTTCCACAGCATGTCTTTATCCTGTCTTCCTTCTCTCACCCCAACCGGTCGCAGCAGATGGCCCCGCCCCTCCCTGAGCCTGGTTCTGCCGGAGGTTTCTTCCTGTTAAAAGGGAGTTTTTCCTTCCCACTGTCGCCAAAGTGCTTGCTCATAGGGGGTCATATGATTGTTGGGTTTTTCTCTGTATCTATGAAGCGCCTTGAGGCGACTTTTGTTGTGATTTGGCACTATAGTCTGTCGCAGGGCCGGAGAAATACTAAAACTATAAAAAAACAACTTGTCTTGCTATAAATTCAGTGTACTTGAAAGTCAATCTACCAAATCTACATCGTGTGTGTGTAAATATATTGGTAATAGACATCTGTTTTGGTGTGACATTTCATAACACATCCTTCTAGACACAATATGTTGCAGTCTGTGGAGAGTCAGCAGTATTATTTACAAACAATAAAAAAGGTGACTTTGTTGAATGGAATCATTTATTGTAGAATTCAGATTCTAAAACACATTAATAATTAAAGTTTCCCAAAGCCCACATGAGTTGTCTTGTTTTTGTACGTCCACATTCTTCAAATCACTTCTCAGATTTTCAGACATTTCCTGATAAATAATCTGTCGGCAGACCTGTGACTAATCTCTTACTTATCGCAGATTATTTAGCAATAGAACATTGTTATAAAATTGTATCTTGTGCAATCTGATTGAAATTCGGAATATTGACTTGAAAATTCTGGCCGCCGTCGGTGTCACTGACCTAAACTGATAATAAAGTTTTTGCCCTGATTGTGCAGAAGAATCCGGCACAGACTAATTCCAGTTATGTTACGAACAGGCTCCTCTTTGCAGAGAAAGGATGCTCGCTGATTCCTCGGTTGCTCGTGCTAGAAGGCCCGTGCTCTACAGGCACTCGTGCAACTGTGTGTACACACCGGGGCAAATAAAAGACTGTGTCAGGGGGTGCGTGCACGTGCATGACTGTGTATATGATGGCGGTGGCATTTGTGTCTGTGTGTGTTTGTGTGTAGCGATGGGTGCCCACAGCGCCACAGTGGAAACTTGGCCACGAGCCAGCTTTTGCCCATGAGGGCTGGTAAACACACCGTGATGGATCTCGTTCTCTGCACTCAAGTACCAAACACAATGTAAACTTGCTTCCATCACGCCACTCAGCCACTCTTCTCCTTCTGTTCTTTAGTAGTTCAACACTACATTAGGCTGCATTCGATGTGTAACATCAAGAAACAGCTTTTTGCATCTCTTTTTAACATTTTTTGACAAAATCAAACAGACATCTGCAATTTGTGTATACTTGAAAGCTATTTACAACACAAATTGCCTGAAGTGAAACCCAAGCGTAGTATATGGCATCAGATCATGTTCGTATTGGATTCATGAAGCGCAAAGAGGCTTCTGGGTCAAGTGGTTTACTGGTAAATAAGCTGGCCTTTGGATATTCACACTTCCAGAGTACACAGCTTCCTGCAGCAGTCTCACAGGCCGGCGTTGGTCTGAGAAAGGTCACTTGTGAAGACTGCACCCCCATGCAACATCAAAACCAGATGTCTGATGAATTGCTCCTCATAAAAGATTCCTCTTTTACAATGGAGCGTGGCATTGCCAAATACGGTAAGACAGTTAGGTGAGCATTCCCCAGTTGTTAAAATTCCTTTGGGTAATTCAGAATAGTAGCGTTTTGGAGAGACAGTCGCAGGAACGTTTCACAATGAGCTTGCTGTAAGATTCTAGATGTAGTGCGGGATATGCTCCAGGTTTGGAGTGATTTACTTTCATCTGCCACAAACAGTCTGAAACAGGATGTGATGCTTTTCATTGAAGAATCTATCTGACCGTTGACGGGTTCATGCGAAACGAGGGCAGCTGTTAGCTTTAAATTTTGATAACACAGGTGGTGTCCAAAGCATCCCAACCTGGTGTGCTTCCCTTTACACAATCTATTTTTGCAACCTATCACATAATAAAATCATGTTGCATTTCATTACCACACACAGCGATTTAACGAATGCGTGTATATCCTGTATTCTGGCTGACTTCAGCTCTGCCCTCTTTTGTCTTCCTCTTATCTTCCGTGTTTGAAGAGGGAATGTTTCTGTTCCTATCACCTATGAAATAAACCATTCTGATAAGGCAACATTGTTTCAGCTCTCCCTGAGAAAACTTACCTATGGGTTCTGATAAGCTGAAAAAAAAAGTCCCAAAAAATGTGGAGCCAGCAGCTGCCTGGTGACACGCTGCACTGAAAGGACTGTCTGGCTCTCTGCGAGCGTGTGCTGAGAGGTGATGGACAAGACCCGGCCTCCTCCCTGCTCCTATCACTCCCTGTTAGCGCGTCTTCTCCTCCCCTGCTTCTAACTAATCACAGCTGACAAGGCATACACAGGGCTCTGTAATACGCCATTGGGTGGAAGGAGTTGTGCTGACCTGTCTTAATCAGGGGAGAAGGAGCAGGAGAAGGACGTTGGGCTATAAAAGCACGACCTCGGCTTAACAGAGACAATGCTCTGTCTTCATGAGAAGACCAGATGTTAAATGTTAAACAGCTTCAGGGTTAAAAGTGTGTGCTTAAGTGTGTGTGTGAATGTGTAAGAGAGAGAGAGGGAGAGGAGGGGGGGTGGGTCAGGGTTGAGAAAGAAAAAAAAAATACTAGTCCAACGTGAGGCAACTTCTTTGCACAGCATCAAATATGAGATTACCTGTGCTTGCTTTGGTGGATCTCTGTTTGCATATGGTGCATCCAATTCACGTGATAAGGGTGTAATCCCACGAGATTATAGGAGGCCATGTGAGGAAACACACATATGCACCTCATGAACTGTGAACACCGTGCATTTATACACCCACAGGCTCTCTTGTGCTGAAACATTGATGCAGACCTTTCACTGTGACGTAATACTGTATATCATCACTGACACTTACAGTGGGATGATGGGATAAATATTTCAATGGAAGGGGGGTCGAGCTGGAGGACAACCACAGCACTGTTCCGGGAATTTCGCCGAACTACAGTTCGCATGCAGAGCGCCCCGTTTCTCTCGTCAGCATCTGCGCATAGCCTCAATTTAAAATGAATTCATCTCGAGGCAATTTGAAGCTCTGAAGTTTGCTTGGTTCTCCTGAAAAAATAAAATAAAAATTTTGACAAAAAAATACTGTAAGAAAATGATAAATTAAAAATAAACTCTTTGTGATGTAACGTGCTTTGAATTTTTGTTCCTAAAGACCCCGTAATTACTCCAAACAGAGAGAAACTCCAGGGAAATATAGGTCATCCACATTTTTTTTTATTTTTTTTATTTTCTATCTTAAAAAAACGTATACAAATACTCATATGCATGTATATGTTACATGGTGATGTATTAAAAATGTTTTAAAAAAATATATGTGAGGACAACGCCTGCTGGGCTGGCTGAGGAGGATTTGGGGGTTTCACTGCCGCTCCAATATCTTGCTCCCTGTGTGAAGTAGGAACTCGGGGGTGTGAATGAGCTGAGACTCACGGCTGGTTAAAGAGCTGGTGACAAACACGCGAAACGCTGAGCGACAACCTGGCGGACACTCACTCGAGCGGCTTAAATTCCTCAGCGGCTTTTATCCTCGAAAGTAACCGGAGACTCTTACCGTTTGGGGAGAAACCGAAAAGTGTCGAAACAAATGGTTTAAGGCTGAATGTTCGCAGACCGGGACGGATGTTTTGCAAAGACTGCTACTGCTGCTGCTGGTGCTGCTGCACGGGCCGTGGATGTACAAAAGAACGAGAATGACAGCAGACAAAGTCAAAGAGACGGCGCGCCACAAAGGAGGGCAACGCGGGACATGTGTGTGCAAAGAAGCGGTGCCCTAGATCTGTAACACATCTGAGTAATTCTGTCGTCCATGCTTCTTTTATGTTGTTTTGGGGCAGCAGTTCCTCATCCCGCACCTGGAAAAACAAAAGAGTGCATTCCCTGGCAGTACATCTCCATGCGTAAATGGAGAGACGTGTGTGCGTATTCGCCGTGCTCTTTTCCTTTGTGCTTACAATAAATTACGCTTGTTTTGTCACTTGTGTCCTGTCCCATGACCGCACTATCATAGATGCATTATAGACTTCCTCATACTTCATATCTGCCATGAGTGATGGCGATGCCTTCAGAAGCTTGCAGTAACGGTGCGCAGAGTAGCACTTACGAAAGAAGCTTCGGCGCACCGGATCGCAATGGTTATGTGAAAACATGTGTCATTCCACTGTGGCGAGACCGACACTATGAGTCGTGGGTGAGACTGATGTTTACAAAAATATGGAGTTCGCAAAGACTCCGGAGTGCGGTGTGTGTGGGCTCGCTTTCGTTTTTTCTCGCTCTGCTGGTCAAATGTGCAGACTGGAAAGCTGATGCCAGCAGCAGCGCTGACAGCAGACTCTCGCATTCATCGTCTCCCCTTCACTTCGTTTCAGGCTGCGCAGCAGAGCTGTTGCAAACTTGCTGGAGTGTGGTTTCGCCATTGTTCACCCTTGTATGTGCCTTCTTTTGGGTCGGTGTGTACTTAATCCGCTGCGGGGTTCTAATCCAGACCGCCATCTCCCTCCTAACCTTGTGCCACCTGGGCGAAGTAGCGGCGTGGTCTCTTCTGGATGGGACAGATGAGCAGCTGTTTTCATTCACGACAGCGGCCGTTGTTGTGCTCCTCTGCGTGGCCACCGGCGCACTCATGGTAGTACGGTTGAATCAGGGCATATCGGTGATCGTTTTCATCAGCGTAGTCAGGACCATCTCACTCTTCTCTCTGCACAAAGTGCGGGCCACTTGGAGACCATACGTAGCGTACCTGGTTGGAGTGCTGGGCATCCTGCTGGCGAGGTATGCTGACAAGCTCCTTCCCAACCAAGGGAGACACAAGGAGGGCTGCACCCCTGTGACTGAGGCCAGGGAAGAGATCCCTGTATTTAAAAGGCGCAGGAGGTCCAGTTCTGTGATAGCCTCAGACATGGCACACAGTCAGTCCAACAGCAAGTCACATCGCCGGACCTCTCTGCCATGCATCCAAAGAGACCAGGTAAGAAGTTCTTGTCCCCTTGAACTTTTCTCTTTCTGCTTTGTGTCCTATGAATTTTTTTTGTTTGTTTTTGTTTTTTTGAGTGGAGCGGAGGAAAGATGGGAACAGTCTGAGCAGTGGCATCAAAACATGGACCACTGGCCCTTTATGGATCTGATCACAAATTTCAATGTTATTTTATTATTATTAGCAGGGATTTTAACAAAGCCAGACAGTGTGCAGGATCCTAATTTGAAAAGGAAAGTCAGGCATGTCACAACAGAATAACATAACAACAGAAAGTCTAATAATATGATAATACAAGTATTATTATAATTATTGTTAAGTAATGTGCTGTTTTTTGTATTTTTTTAAACCTTGCAGTGTGGAGATTACAGTTTACTTGGGTGTGCTTTGATCTTTGATCAGATCAAATCATTTTTGACAGATATCTTGTCATATTTTGTGGAGCTAATTGCAGCCACTCTCAGGCACAAATTCAATACTAACAAAGGATTTATTTTTCCTATTTACATCCACACTTAAACTGTTTAGACAAGTTATCATTACAAATACCTTTTTAAAAATTTAAACTGATAATACATCTTAAAAAACATATGAATTAATGCAGATTTTCCTCATTTTTCAAGAAAACGATGCACATTTCAAACCAGTGTAATGTTTTTGGAGTAGAAAAAAAACTTCGGCCTATGGTTTAATGTCAAGCTCACTTTTGTCATTTCAAAAATAAAGTACCAAATGTGAAGTGTTTTTGCTAAATGGAATGCTATTTTTGAGTCCGTGCCTTCGAGAAAGGGAAGCTGATCCCTGTCATCCCTAATTTTTTTTTATCAAATGTTTTCCCCAGATAATGTCTAAGCCACTGCTTTTCTGTCTTGGACTTTAATGTCACTTGTTTCTCACCACTTTACTTGCTTGCTGTACTTAAACCTCTGGAATGTGGTTGCACTGACTTTCAAATCTTTACTGATACTGTTACACATGCATTCCTGCGTTAAAGAAGACAGGTTAGCTTCACTTAAATGAACTCATATCAACTCTTAAAGCCTTTCGAATGCAAAATCAATGAATGGGAAACTGACTTTTAGAGCCATCAAAGCTATCGTTGTGACCTATGAGTGTGGTTAGTGTGGCAGATGAGAGGCTGCACTGTCGGCCACTTGAAAGATGCCTTCAGGGCTAGTTAGTGTTGCAGTGTGCTAGTTTGTTTTTCTTTGTGGTCACACACATGCACACATATGGTGCACAATTTGGATATGAAAAGACTCTTAGATATTTTACACTTTGCACTTTTTTTGATTTAGGAATGATTTTGCAACTGAAGCTTATTTTTGTGGATTTATTTTTTAATTTTTTTTACTTGAAGTAGGATGTTAAAGAGTTGTCCCACAAATAAAATAAATTATTTCATATTATATTTATTTACACATGAGGAAAGCAGTTCAATTTCTACATATAGTTTTTGATATCTTCTCAATTCTGCATGAAATATTCTCTAAATTTGCTCTTGTTTTCAGTGTACGCGACGATGCTTTTAAAACAATTCAGAAATCGAGTAAAGGTAAAAGTTCAGTAAAGTATATTTTTAATTTCTCCATGCCTCACCAAAGCAGTGAGACTACGCGGATACATTTGACGGCTAAACTGCAATAAGTCACAGCAATGCACCTTTACAAAGCTTGCAGATGTCAAAACACATAAAAAAGGGTGGACACCAGGTTTTACTTTTGGATTCAGGCTCCACTGAATTCAAAACAGTTGCTTAGAGCACAGTAAAAACAGACAAGTTATGATTTATGATGTTTTGTGTTTTCAGTCCTCATACCTCACTCAAAAGCAGGATGGAACCAGCTGACAAAGTAGGCAATATCATGAAAGAGTGCAGACATTTACAACATCTGTGATTCTCCTACATTGTCACCTCAGCCAGGCTGGAGCCCTCTGCTGAAAGACCGTCTCAATTACAGGTGTTTGTAGTGGGACGTAAAGATGGCAATGCAGGCACCCACAGCGCAACATGAAGAAGTTCACGACATATTAAAGCTTCTACAACAAAGGCCAAGTGATGCACCCTTCCCTTTCATCTCTGATGGTTCTGCTTAGCAGTTGACCAGTCACCGCCTGCATGTAATTGAGCCACACATGGCGTGCATATGCTGTCTTGTCTGTGTGGTCTGTAATGTGTAAACAAGCTTGCGCTGATCCACACTAGTCATCACCTTATTCCCACTGGGCTCTGGCATCCCAGGGGGTTGGTGGGGGTGAAGGGGATCAGTCACACTATTCGGGGCCCGCGAAGCAACCGCCACATGGTGATGGGAACAGGAGAGATGCCAGACAGCAAATATATACATCTATATATTTTTTTAAAAATCCGTCTGGCAGATGAAAATATATGTATTTAGTGTTTAACAGCAACGAGGCTGTAATTTTCTAGGAGTGTCTTTGTTGTAAAGAGGCTGGTTGATGTTTTAACAGTTTGCCCTTTTGCTGTTTTCAAGAGAGTTATGATGTTTTAAAGAAGCAGCATAACAAGGAGTACATCTGCGCTGTGTTGACCCGATGATGTTTACACTAGTGCTATGTGACTGAAGTGTTTGAAGAACAGTGTAATCCTGGATGGAGCATTACATTTGATACTTAACTTTATTTTTCTCAGGAAGCTTCTCTCAAAGACCTTTGAGTCTTATTAAAAAAAACAAAAAAAAAAGAAACAAAGCTCTTCAGATTCATAGTCACGATGTAAAAACTGTTTATTCAGAAAATAAACAGAGCAAAGAGAAATCTGTTTCTTTGCTTCATCACAAATCTCAAAGCTACTCTACCCCCCATTCTCATCACCATCCTTCCAAAGTCACGCTTTGAGGCACTGCTCAAATTCGCACAACAGTAGATTTGATAAACAGTAATTTTCCCTTTTTTTAAACACAAATTGGCTGCCGACATCTATCAGCTCACTAAATAGATGCATTTTGCAATGCTGGGGTTGTCCCCCCCACCTCCCACCCCCATCTTTGGCTTAATAAAAGAAAGTCATTATCAGCTGATCTGATAGCAGCTAGCAGGGGCCTCTGCGGGATAGTTCTTCGTCTTGGTTTAATGCGAAATGACAAGCCGGTCTTCTGTATTTCAGTTGGGGATATTGAACTGGAGAATAAGGTGTGGACTCGTGTGGATCACTTTTCACAGCATGTGAGGAAATTTGAGTCCAAGGCTGTCCTGCTGCAGACATAAGCGCCACCATAGAACTTTCTGTGCGCAGAAGCAGAGGAAAGCAGTTTTGACCTCTCCTACCTGAGCTGCAAAGTTTGGGCAGAGCTGATCAGGCCGGTAATGGGGAGTAAAGTGCTACACCCTTTGCAAGGTCTTTGAAGCCACTCCCCTTTCTCTCACTAACCCCGCCCCTTTCCATAGCTATTTCTCCACTCTCTGTACTCTCTCTGACACCAGCACAAATATTATCCCAGCCAGAGGAGGAAATTCTTTCTTAACTCGGATGATGAAGATATTCTTGAAATCTATGATAATGACTTCCTGCGGAATGGGTTCCAAACACAATTACTGTTGCTCTTGTAAAGGTTTCCTCTTACTCTATTTTTACCGCACTGTCCGTAATTGAATTGTGTTTGGGATGGAGGAGGTTGTTGATAGCCTGTAGGGCAGTGATTTACCACTGCACACTCTCATCCTGAGCAGCTTGTTTGTATTCTAAACTCGTAGCCTCATGGGACATGATGCATTTTAACTTTTTTTTTTTTTCTTAAATATTTTTCAAAAACTTGAATGGCCTCTGGGTTAGGAATGGTCTCATTGAAAGCCTCCTTTTGCACTTGGAAAGGAAGCTGATATCAGCATGGGGTTCCGTGTCTTGTGATTGGGCGTTCCACTTCACACTTTCAGTCCCCATTCAGTCCCCGTGTATTAGCTGCGCTGTGCGTGTGTGAAGAGGAGGAGGCGAGGGGTGGAGGAATCGGGGTAGGAATGAAAGTAGGTCATTTGAGGTTTTGTTTAGTAGCCAGGCAAAACACCAGGCTTACTCTTACCCCCCCCCCCGAATGGTGGAAGAGTCTTGCGTTTTACTGATGCAGAGTAGCAACTTTTAACGTGCTTATGCTCCAGATTTGTATGTGTTACCTCTGCCATGTTGGCTAACCAGCATGAAGTCCAAGCCTCCAAAGGTTCTCTTGGAATTATGGGAACTGGGTGCTGTTTCCATAGTTTTGTCAATCACTTCAATCAAATATGTCGTCATTGTGCACACTGAAGTGATTAATATGTAGTTCAACTGGCTTAAGTATCAGATAAATGGCTTTGACACTATGTAACCAAACCAAACAGGTTATCTATGCCAGTGGCTTTTGTTTTTTAATTTCTTTTAAATAATGTATCCAGCTGATCAACAAATAGTTTTAAACAATGCCTTTACCAAAAGCTAAGACTTTGTCCAGTGTTTTTTTCCCAGACTTTTCCACAAACTGTCAAGTTTTCAAACCGTTCCAACGTCTTCTTCTGTACATCTGTATGTCTCTCAGCTTCCATACTGGAATAGCATTCAAATGGCGGTAAAAAACCACTACGATTGTACACTTGTGTCTTCAACCAAACTACAGTTGCCATGGCGCAACGTGCCAGGTTACAAAATCAAGAGCTGCACGACTGACTGAAGTGCTACAGAGATTGTTGTGCGCGACACAGGCTTACAGGATGTGATGTCAAATTTGCCGCGTGACACAGTGCTATATTTTGACAATGAGCTAATTTTCTTGTCCATAATCACTTGTTAGTGATATTACCTTGATCCTAGAGCTTAGCATTTAACTGAGCGAGAACAAAGTTATCAGTATTGATCGCAAAACAACACAAATAACGCCCAGGCTTTGATTAACCAGAATTATTCTTTAAACTCTACTCTCCTGAATCACACATCTGTGTCCACTTCTTTCATTTCAGTCATTTACAGCAACAAGATCTAGCTCATTCCCTGTATCTCTGATCATTTA